ATCCAATATCATTGAAGATTTTGTTGACTATTGTTGTGATAATTATTATTTAGTCCTATATTATATTTGTTACTATCATTACTACACTATATCCTTCTCTCTCTTAATGTATAGGGTGTGAGTTCACTGGAAGAGAATTGATTTCCAAAATCAACGTAACACTATCTTTGTTTAGTGAATGGAAAATGACAATGATCGACATAGTCGCATAAACCAATGACAAAACACAATGGGTAAGAGAGAGGGAGTACAGAGACTCGTTTTGACGGATACCGTCTTGTGACGTCATTCATTTATGAGTGCGTTTTGGCGCGAAGGGAATTATTTTGAATTTCTATATTTTTTTACAGAAAAACTATTAGTTGAAAATTAAAAATTTATGTGGTAACTGACTTTTTACAATGTGAAAAATGTAATAAGAGAATAAAAAAAAATCTGCAAATTCCTCATAAGGGAATCCAAACCACGTGACTTTTGCCAACCAGCCGGCATTTTGAAATTTTTATGAGGTTAGAATACAGGTTGTGTCAACGATGTCAGGAAAGTGTCAGATTTGAGTACTCGCCCCGTGTATAAAAACCGTATCAGACGTGCCGTTGCCGATTCCGTTATCTATTGCCGTTGCCGTCACGGTTGCAATCACACTTGACACCGTTCCGTTACCGATTACTGTGTCCTTATTCTTGAAACAGGGGAGCAGCGTTCCCAGGAGAACGAGTGTTCCGTCTTTGTTACTTATATTATCAGTTGTATATTGTTGAAAAAGACAGAACACCCGTTCTCCTGGGAACGCTGCTCCCCTGTTTCAAGAATAGGGACACTGGTCGCTTGAAATGTTTGTAACGTCAAAATGTCACGGCTAAAATATTCAAAGTACAATGCCGAACGTCGTTGGAAAGTTTCTTCTGCGTTGCTGTGCTATATGATTATATTGGAAGAAGAGGAAAGAGAAAGATCCAAACCAAAATCGGTTTTGGTGCAACACCAGAAACGATAATTGCAAAACTAAAAAAGTGACGTTTAGACACATGTCACATCAACCGCATTCATTGGCTACGGTTCAGAACGGCCTCGTAAAATTTAGACTCCAACCTAAACATACAACGGCAATCGCAACCAGAAGCAGTTACATTTTGATTGGTCGAATTTCCAATCGTAATCGTTAATAGTAATCGGTAACGGCACGTCTGATACGGCCTTTAGGCAATCTACTGACCTGTCAAAAACGAAATTCAATATGGAAGTTCGGGTCAAATAGACCGATCTCCTATTACCTGGACTGCGCGCGTCGCTTGTAGGCTGCAGGTGAGCGTCCAATGAGAAGCAGGTTTGTGACAGGCTTGCGTCATATTCTTATTCAGGGGACAGCTCAGGATGAATCGTTCCTTCTTTCTTTGTAACGTGTAATTTGACAAAGAGCAAACTGATACTTTATAATATATTACTTGAACTCACCGCAGTTTCGTTTAAGGTTATGTTAGATTATACTTGACATATTCCTTTGAAATTTCATTGAGCGATGTTGCCGGATGAAACATTTATCAAAATAAAAGTCCAAGCGATGTTCATCCACTTTAAAGCTCTTCTTTTGTCTGATTAAAGGCGTTGTAAAACACTTGAGACTATATTACTTCTTTAATGTTATAATGTTCGATTTGCATTGTCTACATTTGTTCTGCAACAATACAATCTGGCTACAGTGGCTACACTGCAGCCTACGAGTTGCGCGCGCATGTCATCTTTTATTGCTTTCTAACTTGTATTTATTACAATTAAGCTCTCTTTTTCTAATTATGCGAGATAGGTCTCTCCATCTCAGAATTTATTAATAAATTAAAAAATACGTAGAAACACTATAAACACTATAAAATTCACTTTAAAAACAACAAGGGCCAGAACACTAAAAAATATGTAGAAATACTAAAGACTATAAAATTCACTATGAAAACAACAATGACCAAAACCAATGAAAAATACGTAGAAACACATAAAATTCACTTCGAAAGCAGCAAGGGCCAGAACACAAATACTCTCCTTATGAACTTCAAAACGTCACCGGCTTGTCACCACAATATTTGACCCGAACGGCCATTAGGCATTCCAGGTCACGTGACTTTTGACAGGTCCGCCATATTAGCTGAGGGGCAAACAAAGCCTATAGATCATATTGTTTGCAGTGTTTTTTGAGTTTGTGCTTCGGAATTTTTGCGTTTTTTGATTTGTTCAATACGTTTTAAATTGTTTTTCTCACCTTTTGAGGCATCTAATTTACATACTCCGTTGTTTTTTTGATAGCTCGTTTATGCGATCCCCTCGATCTTTAAATGCTGCTGGAATCCTAAAAAACCTCACTTTATCCCTTTCAGCTCTATTGGAGCACCCAAAAACGCCACCAAACGAAGACATCTTCACAAAATAATACTTCAAAAATTCTCGGTTTGCATTGAAAATAACATTAAATCAGGTTATGTTTGGCTTGTGTCTGTCCCTCAGCTAAAATGGCGGATCGGTTATGACGTCAACCTGGAATGCCTAATTAGGCATTCCAGGTCACGTGACTTTTGACAGGTCCGCCATATTAGCTGAGGGGCAAACAAAGTTTGTGCTTTGGAATTTTTGCGTTTTTTGATTTATTCAATAAATTGTTTGTTTTTAGTTTTTGTGAATGAATGGAATGAATGAATGAATCTTTATTTACAGACATGCCACTTTAGATTTCAATTCAACAATAGTAAACAAACAATTTATTAACAAAAATAATGCTTAAGAATCTAAATTGTTTAAAAAATAAAAAAGTTTGATACCAACAACCTTACAAATAAACTTTAGCAAAATAAATTTGTGGTAGAATGACTCCTCAAACGTTTTGACTGTTCTGATCGGTGCACAGATCTGGCATGTAGCTTAGCTTACTGGCTTGTTCATTCTGCTTCTATCAATTATCGTAGTATATCCTAAATTTGTACTGGGGACCCAATCCGGATTGTTTGTATCCTTAAATTCTGCTGGACTACCTGAAAGGTATTAAAAGTTACCTATATACTTGTAAAACTTACCATTAACAAAATGTTTCGAACAAATTCTAGCATTTTTAACAACGTTACAGGTAAATCTCCCCTATTGAGGCATCTAATTCACATACTCCGTTGTTTTTTTGATAGATCGTTTATGCGATCCCCTCGATCTTTAAATGCTGCTGGAATCCTAAAAAACCTCACTTTATCCCTTTCAGCTCTATTGGAGCACCCAAAAACGCCACAAAACGAAGGCATCTTCACAAAATAATACTTCAAAAATTCTCGGTTTGCATTGAAAATAACATTGAATCAGGTTATGTTTGGCTTTTGTTTGCCCCTCAGCTAAAATGGCGGATCGGTTATGACGTCAACCTGGAATGCCTAATTATAAAATCACTTGATTGAGATTGCCTAATTGATAAAGCCTAGTAAAGTGCGACAAGTGAGTGAACCTTGGTAACGTATGAAGTAGCAGAGGGAAAGACGAAAACCTATACTATACGACGCGACGGGTCCCCGACGTGGTGCATTGCGAAAATTGCGTTTACCCTGACGCGACGACCCGCGTACCTATATGTATATTTAATCTCGGGCCAATCAAGAGGGTTATGTCCGCATTCCTTCCACACAGGTTCACTCACTTGTCGCACTTTACTCATAACCGCGAAGTTCGCTCTTTTTTTGACATTGCTTCGACAATTTGACGTTTGATTCACGCATAAAACGTCAAATTGTCGAAGCAATGTTAAAAAAGAGCGAATTTCGCTGTAATGAGTACTAGGCTTAATCCTGCCAAAAAAAAAAACATATGTTTTTTGTTTATTGTTTGCCAACCAGACGCCATTTGGACAAGTCGTTGGATTCGTTGGATTGCCTAATTAAATGCATTGAAATGAATGACGGTAGAATTAGTCCAGGAGATTATTATGCATTATTTTTGTCCCAGATACTTTTGGTGACGATGGTACATAGACTAACGAAGTAGGTAGGTACACGGAAGCAAGGAGAGTCATCGTCATCTGACCGGAACGACTGACGGATTTACAACAGTCGTCGAGGACTACCAAATAGGAATCATTGAAGATGGTTGTGAAAGTCATTATTAGGACAAAATTAAGAGAATGACTCATTCCCAAAGCTCTCACTCTCCAAACAAACTTTGAAGACTTAAAGACAAGACAGTTATCAGTTATCAGAATTTCCGCCCTCGCTGAAGTCAGGAATAAAAGATGGAAAAGGAAATTAGAAGAAATCAACGCAGGTATATGAGCTCTGAGACAAAGACTACAATCTTGTTAATCGAACAGCAGGAAGACTACTACGTTATTATCATCACGCGCGCGGAACCACTGCTTAGGAAATCGAGATGATAATTATTAGAAGACTGGTTCTTGTAATTTCAAGAAAGCAACTGGCTCAGGCACTCTGACAGTCTCTAAATAAAATTATTAAACACATGCCAAGGAAAGCCCTGATGGCTCTCGGGATTTTGCAATTGAAGTTGAGGTTTATTGTGAGCTTTTGACGATTGACGACGCCTTTGGTTACCATCCTATGCTGGCAGGCAAACGATGTTGTATCTGGAAGCTTGAATAAGATCCAAGAAAAGGAGACAAATGAATACCTACTACTTTGATTTTGCTGCCCTTGCCCTTGTTCCCACAAAAGTCAGTTCTAATTTAGAAGTTATTAGGTAGGTACCCATTTCTTCTCGCTGTTTTTTTGTTTAATCGCCTATTAACAAAATCATTACTTGAGCCAGATATTTATTTATTTATTTATTTTTTAAGCCGAGTTTGAGGAGCTCATTTTTTTTCCAAATGGGGAAATCAATAATTTAGTGCAAGCGCACTCTCTCCGACATTCTGCGCATTTTATTGAAATAGAAAGAATCCGAGCACTCCAGCTTATCATTTTCTAAACAGATTAAGTAATTTGAAATAAAAGTTCATTAGGATCATAGTGATAAATAAAGATACTTGAGGCTTGAGCACTGCTTATCTCATACTTTTTTGTACACCAGCACCAGTAAATAAACCAGCCAAAATCTGGTGGCAATATTTATTTAAAAAAAAATAAGCCAGTGACATCTTTCATACAGTGATGTTTGCATAAGAAAAACATTTCGATTTGCCATAGCCCAATATATCCAGTCTCAAAGAACAAAAATCAAATTTCAGGTGAGTGGAATTTTTAAGACATACCTACTTATGCCACACAACGATTTTCATTATTAGGGGTTTTGTTAAGTTTTTCAATAAAGATACTAATCTCTCATTGATAACTAAAAAATTATATACGAGGTCTGTAAATAGGTTCTATTATAGGTACAATAAAACCGCTTTTATTTCCTATACAAAAAGTACTATAAGTTATACTATTAACATCCAATGGGTAATAATGTATCTGCATCTGTATTTTGTAACTAATTATGTATTAAGATAACTTTATCTTGAAAAGCGATAACGTGCATCCTGATGGCAACATCAAATTAATAAAATTGGTCCACTTGTAATCTTTTTCATTTGATATGGATTTAGGAAATAAGTAAATAGAAGCAAAAGTGTTCTAAAAACGAAATTCAAAAAACGATCGACTGATGCAAAACCTCCAAACCTTTAAAGTTTGCCATTAAAGGACACAATCTGTTGAAAAATTAATGTTAAAAATTAAATTCAACTTTCTTTATCAAGATTTCAGTTTTCGATTGAGCAAATCATAAGATGTCATATCCATCTTCTAAGTTTTAGATAAATTTCAAAATAAAAATTTATCGCAAATCATAGAATCGATATTAAAAGGTTAAACAATAGTATATTACAAGCTTTTTGATTAAATTATATAGATAGGTAACTATTACCTAAGCCGAAATACAATAAATCGCTAAATCTTGAATTTCTTGTTTTTTCATAATAATATGCGATTCTTAGCGCATAATTTATGTAAACAAATTAATCAATAGGTAGATACCAACCAACTTTACCAGTCACAATTAAAAACCCAGAAGAGTAGATATTCACCATGTTTGATGTTTGATTGATAAGTTCTGTTATCTTTGTGATTTTCCTCATTGGAAACCCTTTGATTGATTTCTGCGCCAGAATTTCCTTTTTGTGTAAGTTTTTAATTTTTGAAAAGCTAACCTTTTTTCATTCTCATAGATGAAAGCCCAAAAGCCAAAACATCTAATTAAACCAAAAAAAGCCTTTTCGGCTTTATCAGTATATCTGGGGTCGTATTTCCGAATTCATTCGAGTACATTTCGTACACGAAGTTTTACTGACAGCAATGTAAATTAAATGGGGAGCATTCGAAATCGTATCAAATTTCGTATGCGAGAATATTCGAAAATACGACCCCTCAAAGTTATGAAAGGTCATAAATAGACCCTCTGAGATAGGGACTGTTTAGTGGAGTCTTTTTTTTTGTCTGGCATTTTGAGGGCTGAATGTAGCTAGTTAACTGATGAGAATATAAGAGGTTTTAATACCTGCTCCCCGCTCGAAATGTCCATAGAATGTTTTGCGGATTTGCTCGATTTCGAACTGTGATTACCATCTGGCGATTTTTCAGCCTTATTTTCACAACAAAACCTTTTATTCTCTCGATTGCCAGACAAAAAGTAAACGCGGAAGGTTCTTTTTTTTTCTCTAGAAAGTTGACACCCATCCCCACTTTTTCGGCTATTGAAAATCATCTGGTATTTTTCATGGGTGAATTATTTATCAATGTCAATCTTTTATTTGAAAACCAGAAAATTTGCGATCATTAAAAAAAAAATCTTCAGTAAATCAATTTTTTTCTTCTGCAAATTTTCGAACGGGAGGCAGGCATTAAAATCACCCATATTCTCATCAGCTAACTAGCCACATTCAGCCCTCAAAATGTCAGACAAAAAAAAAATGACTCCACTAAACAGCCCCTATCTCACAGTCTATAATACCACCGATTAACCGAACACAGCAGTTCAGGATACGCTGGATCCGCCTCTCATCTTGTTTTAAAAGGCAACGACCATATACTACATCGCAAAATATAAATTGAGAGAGTACCAAGCTGTCACATAATAGCCCTTTTTGAGTTTCACATCCACGCTTTTCTTATGCAGTTACTTATGTGAGGTGAAAATCCTAAGTCCCAAACAATGTTTTTCTGAAGCACTACTGATTAAACGACTGAGATTTTCATTAATTTTATTGTTAGCGTCTAAGATATGTTCGGGCAAAAATGAAAAATAAACTTAGAATTGACCCTTGTGGAACCCCATTGAAAATGTTTATTTTGTTGGACTCTTGTCTGGTCAACTTTACAGACTGCTGCCGCCCTACTAGATAACTCCTGATCATAAGACAAGCCTCAGTGCCAAATCCAAAATATTTTAAAATAGCTAAAAGTAACTCATGGTTAAGCCTGTCAAATGACTTGGAGTAATCCAGCAAGACGAGCACAGTAAGTTCACCACGATCAGCAGCTTCCAGGATGTAAAAGGGCAGTTGAGCAGCTGTGATCCCGGCGAAATCCTGATTGTATGGATGGTAGTATGTTATGTGTTTCAACATACCTACGTATTTGGAGGTCTAGAACTCTTTCAAGAATTTTTGACATTGCTGATAGAATACTTATAGGACGAAAGTCTTCAAGTTCACTTGGGTTTAACACTTTTGGAATTGGGAACTAAAATGAGCTTCTCCATAAGTCAGGAAACGTATGTGTTTCAATACAGCAATTGACCAAGTGTAAAATAGCTGGAAATATATAGGGACAACAGTAGCAGAGCATTTTGATTCCGATGCCGTCAGTGCCAATGGCATCAGATTTTATGGAAATTAGTGCCTTTTCAATGTCATTCATGTTAATCAAGGAAAACATAAAGGGTTCCGCGTTACTTTTTTTGTTTTGAAAGTAGTAAGGTACCTATCCGGGTCCGGGCTTCCAGAAGTAGCCGCCTCAACAAAATAGCGGTTAATTTTTTCCACGTCGTCAAGTGTGGCAGGAATTGTATTTTTAGGTTTGCAGTATATTTTGAGATCATTAAGGACTTTCCAGTTATTTTTAGGATTATTGATCCCAATATTGTTGGAAATATAATTTTTTTAAGCACTATCTACTGCATTTCTCACCTGATTTCTAAGAATTTTATTTGCCTCCCAATTTGAAGGAGTTTTATGGAGCGTGTATGTCAAAGAGAATGAAACACCAGCCGCGGCATTAAATCTTGTGCTTTTCTGCCTAGTAAACAAATAACTATTGTAGTCTTACAAATTGACAAATTACTAGTAAATAAAATATAAATAGATCTTAAAGGGGTGCAGAGTACAGAGTACAGGGTTGATAATGTCAGAAAAGTTAAATATAAATTAAATTAATCTATTATTTGAGTAATTTGGAATTTTCCCACTAATATGGTATGATTTCGTCTACAAGAAGACTTGATCCGGGCGTCTCATCTATCTTACTATAAAAATGTCAAAAAAAAAACTAGTTTTGTAGGTAGGTGGAAATAAACAATAATAGTAATTTAAAACAGCATAATATGCGTTATGCTGGCCAAGGTAAATAAACATAAACAAATAGGAAATGTTTTTTTGATACTATTGTTCGATTTTAGATTATTCGCAAATGTTGATTTTACAATAAGATTACGTAGGTCTGATGTTTGATTATATTAACGTTATATAACATCGATTCAATTCTATTCTTTATAGTACTTTGTTTTACCTGATCAGCTGCTATTCTACAAACAAAAATGTCTTTGAAATTTTCAGATTCTAAATTACAGCAATACCAATATCCAAAAATGAGCGAATGCGAAGTGATTCCTGTGTCAGAATCTGCCTGCGCCCAGAAAATTAACCTGGACGAACCCAGGTACGACCAGGAATATTACTCTGGAAGGGCCAAGCATTTTTTCCTTACAACGAACCCTTTAAATTTGTTTGTGGCCAACAAGGAACTGGACGAGGCCAAATGTCTAATCCAAAGATACAAGTGAGTAGTTTTAATTTTCTTGAAAAGGTTGTTTGAAATATGTTTTTCAGGTGCGGAAAAATGTTGCCTCGCGGAACTACCGACGACGATTTGTGGCGCGCAAAAAGCCTATACGACTCAGCATTTCATCCAGATACTGGAGAAAAAATGACGCTGATTGGCCGTATGTCAGCGCAAGTAAATAGACGTGCATTCTAATTGGTCAGAAATTGTACAATGTTGCTTTAGGTACCCATGAACATGCTAATTACTGGAGGAATGATAACTTTTTACAAATCGGCACCTGCAGTCGTTTTTTGGCAATGGCTCAATCAAAGTTTTAACGCTTTGGTGAATTACACCAACAGAAGCGGGGATATAGTACAAACAGACAAGTAAGTGATTACATATTTGCGATTTTGGTAATAATAGTGATTGGATATTTAAATTGTTTATAGGCAAATAATAACTTCTTATGTTTTTGCTACTACCGGTGCAGTTGGTACGGCTCTTGGACTTAATGCTTTAGTTAGAGTAAGTATGATATATTAACTTTATTCGTAGAAAGGGTTTATTATGTAACGGGTCTTCAAAAAAAAAAACTTAATCAAAGAGGGCATTGATTACGAAAATGTACGTTGCATATTATTGTTTCTTTATTGGTCAGGATTTTTAACATGACATTAAAAAATTAGAGTAAAATATAACTTAGATATACCTTTGAAAAATCATACCCATCTTTGATTTATGTTTTTTGAAGACGTGATAGCTACTATTTAGAAAATGCACGACGTACATTCAACTTCATATAGTGCGTAGTGCGTGCGTTCTAAATGGAAATATTCCATATACCTATATCTTAATCAGATTACTTTCTTCGAAAGATTGCAGAAACACGAGCGTCAATTTTGATATTCAGGGTGTCTCAAAAATAGATATATGTATATTTTTAAATGGCCGTTCCTGTTTTTTATTGGTTACCGCTGACTATTCCTCTGAGCTGCTAACAGTCCAAGATCTACCTCAAAATTTGATGTGTCAATTCCCTATGATCTCATCATTGTTTACGAGTACATCATATCTGCGAGTCGCAAAGATGAGATATTTGTGGCCAATAGGTGAGGAGCAAAATTTTTGTTCGTCTCTAGGAAATTCATTTCTTCCTGAGTCGTTAGCAGGTAGATTATCCCAAAGTCTCCCGATATTTCTTTCTATTCTCAATCATTCAGTCATTCGCTGTTATTCTATTCTGAGATTCAATAGTCGAATGCACAACCCCATTCTCCGATAGCATTTGAGATATTCAATTTTTCCGCGTCGGTATTAAATGTAGTGTAATAGGGCTTATTTGCAGAGTATTTATCTCTTTTTGTTCTTCGGAACCCAAAGGATTTTGATGCTTTAGCTTACCTCATTTGACCATTTTTGAGCTCGGTTTAGATTTTCCTCTTTGTGAGCCTTTGGGCTTCAATTTGTAATATTCTTACACTGCTTGGTTCCCGGTTCGAGCATAACGGAGCAAACCGTCAAAAGAAGAAATAAAAGACCTATCTTTTTCAGTTTTTTTCTTATATTTTCTAAACCATGCGTTTTAGCGAACACCTAGTTAAAAATTTGAAGAATATAAAATTTCCTTCAAATTTCACTAGTCAAACGTATTATTTAACGCAGTGGTTCAAAGATACAGAAAAATTCTCAACTTGTCAAAAATTTCTTCCGGCCGACCATAATTCAAAGCAAGCATGGGATAAACATATTTTATCCTCATCTCTTTCACGTGCACCCACAGACGATATATGTCTACTGTGCACCTGAATTATTTACCGCGTTAACCGCAACTAAAACATCAAAATTATCGGACTTTTCCAGTTTTTTGCTTATAACTTAACTTCTCAACAAAGTTATAGAACTTCAAACTTCCTTTAAATTTCACTGGCCAAAAGTATTCGATCCAATCGTTACTGAGATATAGAGGTTCAAAAGTTCAAGTAATTTCCCAGATTATCAAAATGAGCGCAGAAATGCAGGTTTTTGCCCCATAACTTCGTTCTACTGCTTTGGTGCTTTGGTAACTTATGCCATACCCATCGAAAAATACTATAGCATTCCTCCCGAAGTGTCTTTAAATATAATCCACGTAATTTTGGCACACCAATTTAAATGTCGTATATCTTAATTTGCTCCACACAACCTTATGTAGCAGGTACCCACCATCAATAACTGTGCATTTATACTGCTGCCGAAGTCTACTGGTTCTTGGATAGGAGTGATTACCGCATACAACATTGACTTTGAGCCCTTGCGCATACCTTCCTCTGTGAAGAAAGACATCGGGAAGGGGGCTAGCTCGTATTTCAACAAGTTTCTAAGGTCATCATCTGATTGTTTTATTATGCGAATCCGTTGAAAGAGAGTGAGAGGGTCTATTGTGAACTTTTTGTTTTTAATTTTCACATAGAACAGGAAACAGATGCTAGAGAGAAAACCTCATCTTTCCACTTCAATTTCATGTCTTGAAAATTCCCTTTTTCCATACAGGTGATACCAATAGTTCGAGCTAAGTGGCAGTTCACAACTTCAGGAGCAATAGCGCTCCTGTGCCTATTGGGAAAAGCTCTTCTGTATCCAGAAAAGATGGATGGTCAGTAGATAGGCGAATTCAGCACGGATGACTTCAAAATCAAAATCAAAATCAAAAAAGGTTTATTTTCCAGAAACAATTAATAAAATACGATACAATAGAAAAATAATTCAGGGGCACAGTAGGTAGATTGTGAGTGCACGTGAAAAAGACGAGGATAAAAAATGTTTATCCCATGCTTGGTTTGAATTATGTTCGGACGGGAAGAAGTTTTTGACAAGTTGAGATTTTTTTGTGTCTTTGAACCATCTCGGTTACTATTTCGTTAAAAAATACTTTTTCTCCGAATGACAGTAAAAGCGGCCTTTTAATGACACTTGACAGGATCAAAAGTTGTATTTCTACTGCCTAGGCAGTAAAAGTGGACTTTTACTGCCTAGGCATTAAAGTGACAATGTCACAACGTTCTAGGTAATAATGGTCGCGTTCCTAAGCACTCAACATGTTGAGTCCTTAGGAACGCAACCATTTTCATTCAATTTGGTATTTGAAATTGATGGTGACAATGACAACTGTCAAAATAATTTAATTATTTGGATAATAATAATGAATGAAATAAATATAAAAAAGATGTCCATGTGTGAATTTGAACATTCGGAGAAAAAATTATATGTTTTACATGGCAGAAAAGCAGATTTCATGCCTCGGCTGGTTTCCTAGCCTCCGCTATGAAACACCAGCCGCGGCATTAAATCTTGTACTTTTCTGCCTAGTAAAACAAATAACTATTTTACCAGTTAAATTTGAAGAAAATTTAATTTTCTTCAACTTTATAAATATGTGTATTCCGCTAAAAACGCATATGGTTTAGAAGTTATGAGCAAAAAACTGAAAAAGTTCGAAAATTTTTAGGTCTTCCGACTTCTCTCCAAGTAAGCACAGGGTCCACGAAGTCGGAAACTTTAATTCTACTCCACAGAATATCCACAATAATAATAACTTCGGAATACTTTCCAGCTACTCCCTAGCCTATTTGAAATTACGTTACCGTTCCCTTAAAATATCTACAATTTATTGTAGGTACCTTGCGTATTTAAGTGTTGCTATGAAATTCCATGGCTGTTTAAATTAAATGTATCTCCTTCGAAACAACTGAAAGGTATAACCAGAGTATAGAGTATAACCTATTTCAAATTTTGTAACTATGTGATTATATTTTTTTAAATCGTGAACCATTCCAATGTAAAAGTTGCTACAGCAGTCGCGCGATATTTGTCTAGTCATCAATCGTATTTTTACTTATTCTATCCAATACTGACATATAATGATAGCATATAATGACATAATTGATCAGCTTTTAAATGAATCATGTGGCCTATGACTCACTTGCTGTTGGTTGCACGAGGTTTTGTACTTACGTCATCATTTGCCTTCCTTTTTTAACAAATATAAAAATTGACTGAAACCAAAGTGAACCAAACTAATGACGTCAAAAACGTTCGTCGATTCTTCTTCGGTTTATCTCCAACAGTTTTCCAGCAAAAAAAAAAAATCTGTTTTTGTTATAAGAAACAATGTGTTAGAAGAGAAGAGGACTTTATAAGGAAAATGAAATAGGTCTCCTTCTAACACATTCATTTTTTTGATTGAATAAACATCTAAAAATTTTTTTTCTAGAGAACTGTCAGAAAACTGATAGAGACTATTAAACCTTATATAATGTATCATTAAAATAAGCAATAATAGAGCTATCGATGAGTTATTAATATATACCTATCGTTTTTTATTTAAAAAAAAAAAATAAGACAAATTAAAAAAATTGAGTACGTCATTGAATTCTGCTTGGAAAATACCTCTAGAAAGTTTATACAGAAATCAATTATTTTCATAATTGAAAAAGTTAGGGAGGTTTCACCTTATTGCTCAAAATCGAGAAACATTCTTTAGCGCCAAAACGGTTGAGGGTATCAAAAGGCGGTATGCAATGTTTGCACCAATCAAAATTTCATGAAATTTGAGCGTCAGTAGCTGGTAGCTGTTAATTTTTTTGTATCTGGTTCAGAAATTGACGTTTCATATCAAAAGTGTCCAAATAGGATCACCCTGTATCTACATTCTTTAACGTATAAGTAAAGTAAAAATAAATTTCCAAGAAATCATTGTTGATAATTCTAAGCCTGCGCCCCACCACCTGAAGAAAATCCTGGATCCGCCACTGGAACCTATATAACATGAAGTTGCCATTTTGGTCTTGTTCTATGGTTTGAGAGTTCTTTGACGGGCTGTGTCCAAAGGGTTAAGATTGGCAGTTTTTTCTCTATTATCTATATTAATTACATCAAGAGTACTAGAAGGTGAACATTGTTCGCTATATACTGCTATTGAATATTCTTGTTAATGACATTTGTTGATTGTTTTTCATACAGGGTGTAGGGTGTCCCACCGGGAACCAAATCGATCTATACAGGAAACGGTGTATATTTTAAGTGATATCACTATTGCTGTATCTAAAACGGTAAGAGCTACAAGGTCGATTAAATTAGAAAAAAGTTGCGTTTTTTGATTCTTATTCAAGACTTGTTCACAGTGTTGCCAAATTCCTTTTAGTTTATGAAATACAGGGTGATTTCTAAGAAACGTCTGAAATAATTTATCAATTATTTTGAAAACTATTGATTTTCGAGACAACGAGACACAATTTAAATTTGAAAGTTTTATAATTTTTCACGCTCTACAACATGGCGTCTTCAAATTTTTAATCCTATCTTTCGTGATCGAGCTATCATTATCAACTACATTTTTTTGAATGCGGACCTGGATTTTTTATGTCATTTTTAAAAGGGGAATAAAGGGCAGTTTCTAAAAATGACACAAAAAATGCAGGTCCGTATTTGAGAAAATGGAGTTGATGATGGTGGCTCAATCACGAAACGTTGGATTTAAAATTTGAAAA